TGGTTGGTTTCTTTGTGGGAACGCGAGTGGGCTTGAGACTGGGTTGTTTTGTGGGGTTTTTGGTTGGTTTCTTTGTGGGAACGCGAGTGGGCTTGCGAGTGGGTTGTTTTGTGGGGGTTTTGGTTGGATTCTTTGTGGGGTTTTTGGTTGGTTTCTTTGTGGGGKTTTTGGTTGGATTCTTTGTAGGTGCTTTAGTAGGTTTGCGAGTAGGAAAGCGAGTAGGTGTGTCTTGGGCTTTGACGAATCGCAAACTACTGGGAGGTGTAACCAACAAGGCTACGAGCAAAAGGAGCGCTATGCGACCGATTCTGTTGTTGTGTTTCATCGCTTTAGTCCGCAATGGCAACCTCATAGTTTTTCTGCCGTAACGTCTTTGTTACGCTCCGGTTAACGGTGGCGTTGTTTGGAGCTTTTGGCTGACCTGTTGTGGCAATAGAGACGCAAAACGATGTTGCTTGTTCTACTACATTAACACGATTGATGAATGAATTTGATGGGCAAAGCTAGTACTGCTACCGGTATATTTACGTGAGAATCATCCGTCTCCGCGTCAAACTTCCACTCGCGTCTTCTCTTTTGAAGAAAACCGAAGGGGAGGTTATCGTATTTAGTTGTTTTACCGGTACTGAAGTGAATAGCCGAGATAGAAGTGAACTTCGTAGTATAAGTCTCCTCAAGGCCACGTGGCTCTCTTACTGGCACGAACAATACGTTGGACAAACAAAGTTTCTAGCCGCTTAAATAGTGCACCACCAAATTGCCGAAAATTGAGCAACTCGTATAAGCCCTTAGTTTTCTGTTCCTGTGTGTCAAGCCAGAGCGCGACCTCTGCTTCCGTTGGGGCTCAGCAAAGAGAAGTGAAACTTTGATTTCGGTACCCTTTTACCTATGTAAAAGTCAGAAGTGTTCGTTCATGTCACAGCCGTTATGAATACATAGGATTGGAAGGTCATAAAGACATTTTGATATTCATTTTTGTAGAACTGAATGACGAATTAGTCCTGTGATTGGAATCTTTCCGCCGATTTTTGCGGTACCTTACGSTAAAAGAACGTACGGTACGTACGATTATGAGGCGCACCTATCTTATCATCAACAAAAAGTGAAAAATGGTCCAATTGCGCAGCTCTGAAGCAATCTACGGTACTTCTACTGTACGGGGTAGCAAACCCTCTTCGGAGCCAATTCACCACACGATACGATACGATACGATACGAGGCGAGGCCCCAACACCCAAAAAGCAGCTCAGTTTCAAATTTAAAAAGAACTAACCCCAAATAATCATTAAGTACAGTACCGAACCTATTACCTATCCGACGCACGTGCTACAATAGGTATTCGTACTACCAGGTACTGTTTAGTTCTTGTTGAAGGAGCTCCTCGGATCGGACGGTATTGGACCGGTACTCGTACTCGTACGTGTATTGCACTTGTACAAGTTGTGCCGTCGGTCCACCGCTCCATCGGACCATGCCATCGTACGAGTTCCAAGGAACGGATCCTACAGATGTACTGTATGCATGATACAGTCACGTGTTACGAATTTTCATTCTGAACGGGCGATGAGCAGACTGATGGATATTGATTTTTTGATTGATTACAAGCACGATACGAACGGTAGAGTAAGTACAGTACAGTAAGTACCGTA